CCCAGGTGTGCCCAAGGTTATCCCAGGTGTGCCCAGGTGTGCCCCAGGTGTGCCCGAGTGTGCCCAGGGATGTCCCAGGTGTGCCCAAGGTTGTCCCAGGTGTGTGCCAGGGGTGTCCCAGGTGTGCCAGGTGTGCCCCAGGGTTATCCCAGGTGTGCCCAGGTGTGCTCCAGGGTTATCTCAGGTGTGCCCAGGTGTGCCCCAGGTGTGCCAGGTGTGCCCCAGGGTTATTCCAGCTGTGCCAGCTGTGCCGTCCCCGTGCCAGCCTCAGGTACCACCAGCTGCACCCCGGGTACATCCACGAGCGGCTCCGGGAGCTGGGGCGGAGCTTCGGCCTCCAGCTGCTGCTGCTGCAGGTGGACGTGGTGAGCTGGCATTGTCACCTTGTCACTGTCACATTGTCACCGTCACCTTGTCACTGTCACCTTGTCATTGTCACTGTCATTGTCACCTTGTCACTGTCACCGTGTCATTGTCACCGTCCCTGTCCGCTCCCTGTGCCCCTCCAGCTGCTGCTGCTGCAGGTGGACGTGGTGAGCTGGCATTGTCACCTTGTCACTGTCACATTGTCACTGTCACATTGTCACTGTCACCTTGGCATTGTCACTGTCACCTTTTCACTGTCACCTTTTCACTGTCACCTTGTCACTGTCACTGTCACACTGTCGCATTGTCACCATCACTGCTCACCTGTCCTTGTCCTGTCTCTTCACCTGTCCCTGTCCCCATCTCACCTGTCCCCGTGTCACCTGTCCCTGTGTCACCTGTCCCTGTCTCCCCTGTCTCCTGTCTCCTGTCCCCATCTCACCTGTCCCTGTCCCCTTCCCTGTCCCACCTGTCCCTGTCCCCATCTCACCTGTTCCTGTCTCCCCTGTCCCCTCTGTCCCCTCACCTGTCCCCGTCCCCTGTCTCTGTCCCCTCTCACCTGTCCCTGTGTCTCCTCTCACCTGTCCCTCACCTGTGTCCCCTGTCCGTGTCCCCTCACCTGTCCCTGTCTCACCTGTCCCTCACCTGTGTCACCTGTCCCTGTCTCACCTGTCCCTGTCTCACCTGTCCCTGTCCCCGTGTCACCTGTCCCTGTCTCACCTGTCCCTCACCTGTGTCCCCTGTCCGTGTCCCCTCACCTGTCCCTGTCTCACCTGTCCCTCACCTGTGTCCCCTGTCCGTGTCCCCTGTCCCTGTCTCACCTGTCCCTCACCTGTGTCCCCTGTCCCCAGCGGGACCCTCAGCGCTCGCTGCAGGACCTGGCCAAGGTTTGTCTCCTCACCGACTGCACCCTGCTGCTGGCCTGGAGGTACGGCTGGCCCCGGGGTCCCCAGGTGTCCCCAACGTCCCCAGGTGTCCCCAGGTGTCCCCAAGTGTCACCAGGGTCCCCAGGTGTGTCCCCAAGTGTCCCCAAATGTCCCCAAATATCCCCAATGGCCCCAAATGTCCCCAAACATCTCCAATGTCCCTAAAATCCCTAAAATCCCCCAATGTCCCCGAACATCCCCAAATTCCCCAAATATCCCAAATGTTCCCAAATGTCCCCAAGTGTCACCAGTGTCCCAAATGTCCCCAATGTCCCCAAAGTCCCCCAATGTCCCCATTATCCCCTCAATCCTCCCAGTGTCCCAAAATGTCCCCAAAGCACCAAAGTCCCCAAACGTCTCCAACATCCCCAATGTCCCCAGTCCCCCCAATGTCCCCAGTGTCCCCAATGTCCCCAAATGTCCCCAGTGTCCCCAGTGTCCCCAATGTCCCCAAATGTCCCCAGTGTCCCCAATGTCCCCAATGTCCCCAAATGTCCCCGATGTCCCCAGTGCGGAGGAGGCCGGGCGTTACCTGGAGACCTTCAAGTCCTACGAGCAGAAACCGCCGGATCTGCTGCGGGAGCGCGTGGAGCCCGACTTCCTGTCCCGGGTGCGTGTCACCGTGTCCCCAAATGTCCCCAAATGTCCCCAAATGTCCCC